CGAAACCGACACCGTAACTTCATTTTGACGCACGGTTAAACAAAGACAGAACGCCGTAACTCAATTTGAGCATTCCAAACAAAGTGAAAGAGCCATAACTGGTGTTATATGGTGTTCTGCCTTGGTTTCTCTGGGGCTTTTCGAAGTTACGGTTGAGACGACCCATTATTTTCTCGAAAAAACAACGAAATTGACTCAAGATACTTTATCGATAACTCATTTTCGACAAAAAGTGAAGTTATGGTCTTTTGCCTTTGCACGGCAGTATACTGGGGTATTAGGACCCACACAGACCACAGGGTGAGCACCCCCTGCTGGCCTCACTAACACCTCTTCCAACAGCAACCTAGTTTTCCCAGGAGGTCTCCCATCCAGGTACTGACCAGGCTCAACCCTGCTTAGCTTCACTGGGCAACCAGTCTTGGGCTGCAGGGTGATATGGCTGTGTGCTTTGAACATCACTATGTTCAAATGCTTTCTTAACTGCTGTTTTCTCACTGTTGTCATTTTTTGCTGACAACAGTGGTGGGCAACCAGTCTTGGGCTGCAGGGTGATATGGCTGTGTGATTTGAACATCACTATGTTCAAATGCTTTCTTAACTGCTGCTGTTCTCACTGTTGTAATTTTTTGCAGTGTATTTATTTTGTTATTGAGAGGAAAGTGTGCAGCATGTATTTATAGTACATATTAATCTAAATGCACTTCCAGCCTTGTGTGTGGCATCAGGATGTTTGCCAAAAGTATACCTTTCTACTTCTTTTTATTCCTAAAAACAAAACACAAAAAGAACTTTGCCATGAGTATATCGTGGCCTTTAGGCATAGGGACAAGTAAGTAGGTCCCAAGGAGGCTACATCCATTTATGATTTTAATAAACATACACTTAATATGTTGTTATTATTGTATACTGTTTTATTATGTGTTCACTTAGTGTAAATAGCATCTAACTCTATTTGCACCTGCCTTAAAAGAAAGAGACCATGTTTTTTAGTATTTGTGAAGACCGCATGAAATAACTTAAAGGGATAGTTCGCCCAAAAATGAGAGTTCTGAGATCATTTACTCACCCTCTTGTAATTAGAAGCTGAATGTTTCCTTTTTGTAGAGCACAAATAGAGAAGTTTACCTGAATGTTCATGCTGCTCTTTATACGTACAGTACAATGAAAATGAATGGTGACCAGGTGTCAAGCTAAAAGAATAACTGAAAGAACCATAAAAATGCCATAGTATTAGTAGTAATCACGCAATTTAAAGTCCATGAAGTTCTGTAATAGCGTATTGTGAGGAAAAAGTCACTGTTCAGATATCATTTCAATCATTTATCATTTGGTATCATTTCAAATATGGCACACCAAGACATGTCACATCATTTTTAAGGGATAGTTCACCCAAAAATAAATAATTACTCACCTTCATGTTGTTCCAAACCCGTAAGACCATTGCTGATGATGCCACATGGACTATTTTAACGATGTTCTTACTACCTTTCTGGTCATTGAACATGGTAGTTGCATTGCTGTATATACAGGGTCAGAAAGCTCTCGGATTTCATCAAAAATATCTTAATTTGTGTTCTGAAGATGAACAAAGGTCTTACGGGTTTGGAACAATTATTGCCAGAATTTTCATTTTTGGGTGAACAGTCCCTTTAAACATCCAGAATGATGTCAGACTTTTTTGGTTGTTGTCACAGCTGTATCATGAATGCCAAATTTGAATATGTGTTTATCAAAATTGCTGATGTGAAATAAGAACTGTGATGGAGGGGAATATTTTAAATAAATTCTCCTGTTTTTTTACACAAAGTTAATATTTGGCTTCAAATGTTTTGCAATATAGTTGTATGGACTACCTTTAATGTTTTTTTTTTAAGTTTATGGTTGCTATTTTGACATTCTTAGAGCTTAACAGGCCCTCGTCACCATTCACATTTATTGTATTGAAAAGAACAACAAGAACATGATCTCTAGCATTTCATTTTGCAATAAACTATTGTTAAATTAAAGTAATATGGGTTTAGATGGAAAACATGAGGCTGAGTAATTTATTAACTTTTCCTTTCAGACTCATTTGGAAAAACACTTCTCGGTTCTCATTCACTCTTCTGAAAATTGGAACAGGCGTGTTTCCTTCTTTGTCTATGGTGGGTTACAGCCCTGAGTCTATATATAACTTTTATATCCCTTTCTTTCTCTCCTCTTTATTCCCTCTCTCTCAGTTCCGTCTTTCTCATCAGGATCTCTTAGGAATGATGGAATAAAGGCGGCTGATGTTCTAACAGTTTTAAGAGAGAAGGTTGCCTTTGTCTCAGGTGGGAAATGTATAATTGCATTGTAAACACACACACACACACACTCATTCACTGTGGAACAGCTTTGTCTTAGCACCCTCTTAAGCACGCACCCACACAGGCTCATGGGTATTACCGTAATTAGGGCCATTGAAGTGCTTTGAGTAGTAAAATTAGTAATAAATCGGTCCTCTTCTTTTCAGGAGGAAGAGACAAGAGAGGGGGACCCATCCTTACATTCCCTGCACGAAGTAATCATGACAGAATAAAACAAGAAGACTTGCGGAAACTGGTGACCTACCTCTCTACTGTGCCCAGGTTATAAAATTCCAACATTTATTTGGAACACCTCACTTAAAATGTCCCTGGAAGATTTCCCTGAAGAAAAGTGTCCCGAGAAAGCAGGCTCTGTGACAGCCCTAGACTCAGTAAACAGCATAAAAGGCCTCAAAATCTTATCAAAACAGCTAAAATTGCTTACAGCACCGCTACACTTTATCATAATATAATTGCTAAAGTTTGAGACATAAAGGGTCAGATATGGATGCATTTAAAGCCTTTGATTAGAGCATCTATTTGATCTTTAGGGCATTCTGATGCAATGTGATGCAACTCTAAAAATATATAGCTTCACTGATGCAGAGCTATGCAAGTTTAAGCAATTGTTCAGAAGATACTGTATGCACAGTTTTTATTAACATTTCCTTGGATGGCTCTAAGGTGTTGGTCTTCCTCTAACTTTCTCAATCTCTTTATCCGGTGCAGTGAGGATGTAAGTAAACGAGGGTTTACAGTGATCGTAGACATGCGCGGCTCGAAGTGGGATCTGATCAAGCCGTTGCTGAAGACGCTACAGGAGTCGTTTCCAGCTGAGATCTGCGTCGCTCTCATTATCAAACCAGACAACTTCTGGCAGAAGCAGAAGACCAACTTTGGCAGTGCCAAGTTCACCTTTGAGGTATACGAATGGAATTTTGTCTAATAAGAAAGCCACAGAAACGTTCCAAAAACTGACATAAATGAAATGTTTTGCCAGTGCAAAGCAATGTGTCTGTTCTTGCAAAAAATTTTTTACACAACTGTTCAAAAGTTGTTGTTTCTTTTTTGTGACATGTCTTTTATGCTCACCAAGGCAAATAAAGTAAAAACCATAATATTGTGAAATATTATAATATCTGTTTTTTTTTTTTATTAGAATGTATTTAAAAATTTAATTTATTCCTGTGATGTGAAGCTGAATTTTCAGCAGCCATTACAGTCTTCAGTGTCACATGATCCTTCAGAAATCATTCTAATATGCTGCTTAAGTAACATTTCCTATTATTAGAAATGTTGAAAACACTTAATGTTTTTTAAGCTGTTTAATATTTATATGTATTCAGAATTATTTGAAAAATCAAAAGTTCAAAAGAACATGTTTTCTTAAATCTTTGTAACAATGTAAAAATCTTTGCTCAATCAACTGAATGTATCCTTGCTGAATAAAAGTATTAATTTCTTTAAAAATATCTTACTGCCATCAAAAATGTGAACTGTAGTGTATAGATATTTGTCATATTCCTTATTATATTAAATACTTGATTATAATTTGGTCAACATTCTGTAGCAACCAAAGTATATTTTTTATAATGACCGCTAAACTGTGACTGACTGCCGTCATACCTCTGCTAGTTTCATGTTTCATATCACTCCATGATCCCTTTATTAGTAATTTCGTGTTTTTATTATTAAATGTATCACAATTAATTACATCAGAATTTGCTTGAGAACCCTCCCACCTATAGATAATTAGACAGAAAAAAACTGAACCCAATATATTGTTTATTTCCTTATCATTAAAATCCTACCACTGGCCTACACTTCACAGCAATGCATTTAGCAGATTTAGATATAGGGGCCATACATACAGCACCCACCCATAAATTCCATTTAGTGATTTGTAAATACATTTTACAATGTGCAGTCGGTCATTATAACAAAATAAACCTCTTTGAGCGAATGTCCTGATCACCTTCTCTGGCTTCGTTTTGCAAAAGCGACCAATGGACTATATATATATATATATATATATATATTCCTTATGTATTATATACTGTTTGGAACATCAGTGGTTGTTCTTTGTTTCTTTTAGACCAGTATGGTTTCAGTGGAAGGTCTGACTAAGTTGGTGGACCCGTCTCAGCTGACGGCAGATCTGGAAGGGACCCTGGAGTACGACCACGTGGAATGGACTGAGCTCCGTGTTTCCCTTGAGGAGTTCACTGGAGGCGCTCTGCACCTCCTTTCCCGGCTGGAGGAGCTGCAGGAGGTGCTTTCTCGCCAGGAGCTGGCCACTAACGCAGAGGAAGCACGGAAACTCCTGGAGGAGCACGCTCGACTGAGGAAGACTATGACGAAGGCACCGGTGGATGAGTTAGACCATGAAGGACAGCGGCTACTTCAGAAGATCAGGGATGGGGGAGACGGAAGGCTCTCTGGTGGGGCAGACTTCCAGAGTTTGGTACCTAAGATTTCCGCCCTATTGGATAAACTTCAAGTTACGCGGCAGCACCTGCTACAGGCCTGGCACAACCGCAAGCAGCAGCTGGACCAGTGTTTTCAGTTACGGCTTTACGAGCAGGATGCAGAAAAGGTTAGAGGACAGAATGAAAGTGTGAAATATGGAGAAGAGTAAACAACAAAGGAAGAACAAACTATCAGCAATGAAAAAAGAGATATATATTAGAGCAAATCTAATCATAAAACAAAAATTGTAAATGTGTATTTGTGGTGTGATTATACAACAACAACAATACTAATAATAATAACTTTGATCATTTTAATAACTTTTTAATAACTATTATCATTATTATTAATGTATTTAAATAATAAGATTTTTATTCAATTATAAACGTAATAATTTTAAATATAATAATATCCAATAATAATATAATAATAAAATGCTATATTTAATATTATTATTTTTATTTAATAAAAAATATATTTTTAAATATTTTAATATTTTACTGTAGTAATAATTCTGTTCTACTGTAAATAAAAATCATTAAAGGTATTTAACAAAAATAATAATTAACATTATAGATTATAGTAAATTAATCAAATAATGATATAAGTTAACAATAATATAAAAAATAATACTAAATATTATTAATTTGTATTCAATTGAATTATTCAATATTTGTATGTTTTACTGTACTAATAATACTGTTGTACTATAAAAAATGTATTTAATAATAAAACAATTAAACAATAACAATAATACATTTAATAAAATAATACAATTATGTATTATATATGTAATAAAATGTATTTAAAAAAAAATACATATCTGTGTTATAAAATGCAAAAATGTACTAATATTTATGACTGTCTCAGTGACTTTGCTTTTCGACCTTGAAGCTTTTCTTTTGTTTACAACACATTTATAAATATAATTTTTTTCACATATCAGAAAATATATAGGCCTATATAACATAAGGCCACAAAATAAAGATTAATTCTAATGACTTTATAGCAACGTTTTATTAACGAATTCCCTATTTTTTGTTCAGTTGTGGCAGTAAAATATGCTCCTTTGTTTTAATGTAGTTAAACTGCAGCAAGCTACAGATACATACTCGCATTGCCATATACAGTATAGATAATGCACTAGTAAACACCACTCACATTTTTAAAAAGCTACTTCTAGCATGACTCGATGAAAGAAAAATCGTGTAATGTAGTAGAGTACTGTGGGTGAAGGTCATGTGAAAGTGTAAATAATGAATGATGGGAATGATAATAGCATGCTCACTGTACTCCCTTCTGTGGCCTGATGTCTGCGGGAGGCCGTGTGTTCCGTTTAAGCCCAAACGGAGAGGCAGTCTCACACTCCCCGGTCCTGCTGACTGAGCCCATCTGTGCTCCACCAGAGCCAGAACACTAAGGGCTATTGCTTGTACATCAGCCAAAGAGAAAATCTGTGTATATTAAGGTTCACGTGTAGATCACTAGAACACTAACAGGGAGTTAAATCACCCAAAGCCCTAGAACGACTGTTAAGCAAATTTGCCTGGGCCTTTGTAAATATTTATGTACAAATGTGAATCTTGATTGGTCCAGTATGGTAATCTACAGTCTGTGGTCATCGTTTGCTTCTTTTAGTCTGGGTCTAAAGACATTGGAAGGGTGTTTTGAGACCAAACTGTCTGTGAATGCAGCATTTTTCTCTCTGTTTCTCTCTCTCTTTAGATGTTTGAATGGATCGGACACAATAAAGAGCTGTTCCTGCAGACGCACACAGACATTGGCGTGAGCGACCAGAATGCAGCAGATCTACAGACCCAGCATGACCACTTTGCTATGAACTCTATGGTACGACGGAGGAATGCTTCAAGAAAACACCCTGGATACACTCTCACTGGACAAAATTGAACAGCTTTTGTGTCTTCTTGTTGCTAATTTAATGGGATCATCTTCTGGCATCCTGTTTCTCTCTTTTTTAGAATGCGTATGTCAATATCTCGCGTATCGTCTCGGTGGCGACGCGGCTCTGTGAGGCGGGTCATTACGCTGCCGCTCAGATACAGCAGATCTCTGGTCAGCTGGATCAGGACTGGAAGAGCTTTGCCTCGGCGCTGGAGGAGCGCAGTGCCATCTTGGCCATGTCCTCTGTGTTCCACCAAAAGTCTGAACAGGTAAAAACGTTTTTTTGACACGAATTATTTTTAGCTAATTATTTTGTGAATCCCTTAAAGCTTACCCATCTTATTCTAATTTTTAAAGTGCCCTTATTATGCCTTTTCGAATATTACCTTTCATGCAGTGTGACATGTAGCTGTATGTGAACATAAACTATCTGCAAAGTTGTGAAGCCGACAGTGCACGATAAATAAAGTTATTGTCTATCAAAAAAAAGAGTCAGCTCACAATCGCCTAAACGAGTCGTCAGGAATTCGAATCTTAATCTGTTACGGCTCTACGTCACGAAGTAACACATTTGCATAATGTCCGCCCACGTTCTACGTCGCCAACTTGCCCGTCCACAAACAGTAAAATTTCCGTGTGGTTAGCATCATGTCGAGAAGATGCTGTATCCTACGCTGTGAGAGTAAATTTGTTTTATCGCATCTTATAATTACCACAAACTTGTTAACACTTGACCACTGAGAAACGTCCTGCTCCAGTCGTGCTTGCAAATCAGTCTCTTGTCGATCAGCCAGTTCAACCGTTTCATCATCAGACTCCGGCTCGAATTGGTAAGGTACAATCGATACCATCTTTTCTATGTATTGACAAGTCTCCAGGGTTGTCGTTCTGTCATGGCAATGGGCGTTTCGTTTCCGACACGCGCTGTACGCGGTCGACCAATCCAGAGCCAATCTCTCTACGGCTCTGGACCAATCACAAAGGACTGCGCCATTTGACCAATCACAGTAGAGAGGGCTCACGGAAAGGAGGGGTTTAGAGAGACTGATTCTTTGAACTGCTTCACACGAGTCGTTTACAAATCATTTAGAAATGAGGTCAAATTAAATCTATTTTTGAGAAAAAAAAATTTTGACCTTGCATGCATGTTAAGCCGTTTTAGGAGACTCATAAAACAATATTAGCAACCTTAAAAATGGCATAATAGGGGCACTTTAATGTTGAGCTTTGATCAGAAAAAAACAAGAAAACCATGAACCAAGAAGAAAACAAGAAACATGTTTTGCACGTATAGTATCTTATTTTTGATCTTCCCTGTTAATTTCGTTTTGCAGATCTATTGAAATCTATTACATTTTCTATTTATCATTTGGAGCCTTTGTCATGAGTGACATTTTCCACTATATGTGATCTTGTTTTGTCCATTATCATCTTTTCTTTTGAAACGAGTAATGATGATTTTGAACCAGCCATTTTTGCTGGTTATTTTCAATAGGGAGGGAGCAATTTGAAAATGAAAAATAATATAAAATGTACATTTTGTGTCTATGGATTCTGTTTCATTAAATGAAAAGATTTCAGTTTAAAAGTACGTTTTTTTTTAATGTAATGGTGGTCATTTTAATTTGATTGAATGTTATTACTTTTAATTGATATAAATTAAAATAATATTAATTAAAAGTAATGTTATTACTTTTAATTAATATTATTTTAATTTATATTTTTTATTCATATTTATATAAATTATAATTTTAATAAATGTAATATTAATGTTTTATTTTATTTTATTATTTATTATTTTATTTTACACTATGTGTAGTGGTGCAAAAAAATTGCTCGGACAAGAATTTGATTATGATTCTTTATTAACAATGTGAAGTCAACAACTTAGCCTGAAGTCTGAAGAAATTTGGCCTAGGTTTAATTCGATTAAGATTGATTAAGTTATTTTGGTATGTTTCATTACAATTTATATTGTAATATTGTAATCAGTGTGTATGATTTAAAGAATGCATAAAATTTTCATTGTCAGATTGATGCATTGTGATTTTACACCCCCAGTGTAACTATTTTACCCTGAGTATGTCTACGCTGTAAAACTGTTTTGGGAGGTAACCTACAAAAGTGCTTAATGTGGTTTTACTTAAGTGAAAAACATGATTTAATATAGCTGATACTATGACTATGACTGCATTAGACTACCAAGAAAAGTAATTATTTAATCAGATTTAGCACCTCACTATAACAGCTGCCTGTTACCACTGTTTACTTTCTGATGTTATATTTCCCAACTAGTTTGGTTCCTTGATTCATTTGATCCATTTTTTTTAATAATTCTGAATTTCCTTTATATGCAACTGTACTTTAAGCTCCCCTGTCAGTTTCAGTCTGTTTCTTCATTAATAACTCCTTTGTCGAAATGTGCACACATAGCTTCTTCATGCCTTTGATTTATGACCCCAATTTGTATGATCCTCAGCAACTCTGTTTAATTATGTCTGAGCTTGTTTTTAATGAGTGTGTACAACTGTGCACCTCTGTCCTCTCTGGTTTTATTACATGGACCTTTTATGCTATAAAGTTTAAGAGGGTGTTCTCTCTGTTAGTTTCTCTCCAGCATGGAGGGATGGGTGAAGTTATGCGGTGAGGTCGGCTTGCCGATAGCTACGCAAGAGCTTGAGATGGCCATTCACAACCACCAGAATCTGTACGAGCAGGTCACCACAGCATATACAGAGGTGAGCATTTGAGGAGCTGCTCTATTTAGTACGCTTTTTAACATGAAATGTAGCCTACAAAGCTTTGTGTTGGAGATTTAGAGAAATTTTGTAGTGCTGTGTAGTGAATGGGTGCCGTCAGAATGAGAGTCCAAACAGCAGATAAAAACATCACAATAGTACACAAGTAAACCACAAGACTCCAGTACATTAATTAATGTCTTGTGAAGTGAAATGCTGCATGTTTGTAAGAAACAAATCCACCACTAGGACGTTTTATCATTAAACCGTAATCTTAAACCTTGCAGACACACAACTTTTCACTTGTAATGTGAAAGTCAATTTTCATCTAATTTAAATTTTTACACTTGCCCTTTTAGAGCAGATTCAGTTCACAAACAAATGGCTCTCATGTACTGTATAACTTAAATATGATTTTTATTTACAATAAACAATACTATAAACTGGCAACTTACTGTAAAATAGCAAAATAGCAACTTACTGTATGTGCCGTTAGTCAAATCTTTTGCACACTTGAGCTCTGAGTGTCATATTTCTTCTGGTTCTCGACTAATTTTGAGTCAGACATGACTGATTGAGTTGTTAACCAGAGACTAGCTCCTAATGATTCACTGAATCAAAAGAATTGTTCAGAAACTGAACATGTCTAATGTATCTCGGAGGGTGTCTCGATTTCTTTAGTTCGAAATAATATATCTTTTTTCAAAATGCAGTAAAGTCCAGTTCACACTAAGAACGATAATTATAAAGATAACTATAACGTTAACTATATTAGCATCCACACCAACAGACCATAATGTTCTGTTTATTATAAGCACACTCTGCAATTACCACTTAAAATGCTCAAGCTCTTTAAAGTTGAGTGGATTCTGATTGGCTGTCAATGAATCATTGATCAGCTGACAATGATTACAACAATTTCGTATCTCTGTGTCATTATCGTTATAGTTGTGGTGTGAACTTCCCTAATATTATAGAATTAGAACGATTATTATAATTTTATCTTTATCATTATCATTATAGTTGATGACTTTGGTTCGAATGGGCCTTTAAAATGTAAAATATCATGCTTATATATTATGCTTATAATGTAGTAATCATTACTCTAAAACACAAATACTTCGAGTACGGAGTTAAAATAATTTGTTGTTGTCCACCACTGACTAACGGATGTTATATTTCTGATTGCAGGTCAGTCAGAAAGGAAAGACACTACTGGATGTGTTGCAGAGGCCTCAGCCTCCGGCTGACTCCGGGTCTCTGACAGCAGGGGCCGACTACAGTCAGGCGGTGAGGGGGGTTCTGGAGGTGGTCCATGAGGTGGTTCATCAGTATCGCAGACTAGAGGGTCTCCTGCAACACCGCAAGCTCCGGCTGCACCAAAGACTTCAGCTGTGTGTGTTTCAGCAAGATGTGCAGCAGGTAAATACATCATGTAAATCATGTATAGAACCACTCAGATATGCATGCAGTGCACAAACATGCATGCACTCACACACACTATACCCACAGAATTCAACATCTGACGAATGTGACCCCAGCCTTTCAACCTTTCAGCAGCTGTTTATAGATCTTTGCGTGTAACGATGTTTCTCCTACGGCAGAGCAAATATCAAGTGCAGAGAGCATTAGAGGAAGTGACAAGGAAGTGACATGGACTCTGACTCATAGAGTTGACTGAAATTGCCTCAGCGTCCTCGAGGGACGGCAGTATTGTGCTTGGCTTCTAGTCAATACCTCCAACAATACACTCTACTTCCTGAGGCCGTCGCCTTCAGGGGCTTTTTGTTGTACCTTCACCGGTTCTCTGTCAGGACTGTGTTGTTTCTTTGATGTGACTGCATCCTTTCCAGGGCCTCTTTAGACAGAAACAAGGCCTACTCGAGTACTGAGGTTGTGCAGTGAACTAAAGAACTTTGACTTCTAACTGACAAAGTTTGTTGAACCTTCAAAAATCCCCTGAGCCTCTTTCCAACTAACTGTTTAAGCTCTGACTTGCTCTTAGGATGTGTAAAATGTTTTATATAGGAAAGAAACTTCACAAATTAGAAACACTTTAGTATAGTCCTAACACTTTAGGGCAGTCGAGGCCTAATGGTTAGAGAGTCGGGCTTGTAACCCAAAGGTCGCGAGTACTCGAGTCTCTGTACCGGCAGGGATTGTAGGTGGGGGGAGTGAATGTCCAGCGCTCTCTCCGCCCTCAATACCACGACTGAGGTAAGACCTTTGAGCAAGGCACCGAACTCCTAACTGCTCCCCGGGCGCCGCAGCATTGGCTGCCCACTGCTCCGGGTGTGTGTTCACGGTGTGTGTGTGTGTGTGTGTGTTCAGTATGTGCACTTTGATGGGTTAAATGCAGAGCACAAATTCCGAGTATGGGACACCATACTTTGCCACACGTCACTTCACTTTTTCACTTCACTTTACTGTTAAAAAAGTACTTATTATGGAAATAATATACTTTAAAATAATATGCTTAAGTGCAAATTGAATGTATTGTTTTTGGACACTTAATTGCATGTTATTTGAAAATGAAATGAAATCAATGAAAATGTGTTACAGTTTAAATTTAAATTAAATGCAATTATTTAAACTTGAGAGTGTTTTTTGACGTAATTCGAAATAAATTAGACTCGGTTCATCCAAAAATGAAAATTATGTAATAATTTACTTTCCCTAAAGTTGTTCCAAACCTGTATGAGTTTCTTTCTTCTGCTGAACACAAAAAAAGATATTTTGAAGAATGTGGTTAACCAGACAGGTGCTGCATTGTCCCCATTGACATTGTAGTTCCAACATTATTCAAAATAACTTATTTTATGTTCCATTGAAGAAAGAAACTCATACAAGTTTGGAACAACTTGAGGTTGAGTAAATGATAACAGAATTTTCATTTTTGAGTGAACTATACCTTTAAGTACATCTTTATATATCATAATTACTTCTATTGTCTTTGAAATATGATTAAAGCATGCTGCCAAATGTAATTTTTTATTTATTTATTGCATTTAAATATATTTATAATTGTAAATTTTAGTGATGAACATGCAGTTTATTGCATTTAAAATGTATTAACTTTATATTAACTAAAACATGTAATTTGCATTTTAATTTAATTTAATTTATATATATATATAATATATACATACATACATGTAATATACATGTAATATATATGTTCTTCTTTTGACAAGGGAAGATTTGGAGAGATCTTAGTGTAAACTGTTAATCTGGAATATTCCTTTAAATTTGAAATAGACTATCCAGTGTTGATATGTGTGTATGTATGTGTGTGTGTGTGCAGGTCTTGGACTGGATTGAAAACCATGGCGAGGCATTCCTCAGTAAACACACAGGAGTTGGGAAGTCTGTACACAGAGCAAGAGCACTACAAAAACGGCACGATGACTTCCAGGAGGTGGCACAGGTTGGAACCAAATCAGTTTATGTTGTGTTTGTGTGTGTATTTTTTGCTTGATGAGAGAGGAGTAAATGAGCAGTAGCAGTGATATCATTCATCATACTATTGAGTTTCCTGTTAATATTCAAGGAAGATGTTTTTAATGTACTTCTCTCTCTCACTCGCGTTCTCTCTCTTTCGCTCCAGAACACTTATACTAATGCGGATAAGCTTTTGGAGGCAGGGGAGCAGCTGGCTCAGACGGGAGAGTGTGATCCAGAAGAGATTTACACTGCCGCCCATCACCTGGAGGTCAGAGTTCAGGAGTTTGTACGGAGGGTGGAGCAGAGGAAACTACTGCTGGATATCTCAGTGTCTTTTCACACCCACACTAAAGAGGTATTGCACACACACACACACACACACACACACACACACACACACACACTAAACAGCGCTTCTCAGTGCTTCTCAAATAGTTTTAACAGTTTTGACTGATATCTGTTCATGCGTGAGAGATTTTGATAGTAGCTCTTAACTCCACTTACTGACTGACAGCACAAATTAAAAACTAAACTGAATGGATGACGATTCTATATAAACAACCTTGGCAGCTGTTACCGTATGGATCCATTCAGAATTACTAAACCATTGACCCTCACATAAAACACACTTTTTAGCCAGCATCCATTATAAAAAAAAACTTGTTATAATTTTGACAACTACGCAAATATCTTGAAATGTGCAAAATATGATGTTACAGCAATCAGTGTACATCAGATTTGTTTGCATATCAATAATAACGGACTCGCGCATGCCTAATGTATGACTCCTGTATGTTACTGTAATTGTCTTTACCTTGATTACCATCGTCATGCATCAAAACTTTACTAACGCAACAATGATTTGATTAATCCAGCCGAGAGATGTAGTTTGTGTATCATGCTCATGCAGTGGTTGGGTGTTTTGAGCTGCTGTTCAGTCTGTATTTCATACAGCGTGATGAGAAACTGCTTGGGCTGCTCTGAAACAGCATATGAGAGAGATCATGCTTTGAAGCCAAATACACAATGAAATTAATAATGTACTAAAATCTGGACGTGAGTAACTATTGTCTCCACCATCTCTGATGTAATCAGCTGAGTTTTTCAGCATTAGCGCTGTTTTTAACTGCCTGCTTGAATGCATTTGCTTACTGGATGCTTGGACTGAAAACTTTCAGTTTGAAATGATCTGATCACAAACAAAGGAGTGGAAATATAATGTCTCGTCCAAAAATCTGTCATTCTGTTCTGTCTGTCTGTAGCTGTGGTCGTGGATGGAGGACTTGCAGAAGACTCTTGTGGAGCCAGTGGTGAACTCTGAGTCTGTGGATGCTGTTCAGGAGCTGATCAGACAGTTTCAGCAGCAGCAGAGCAGCACTCTAGATGCCACACTCAATGTCATCAAAGAAGGGGAGGAGCTCATTCAGCACCTGCGGTGAGATTTACAGCGCACTCCTATTGTACAGTATTGCATCATAACCAGTTGTGAAGTATTTGAGTACTTGATACCCTTACTTGAGTACCTACCCTTATAAAATAGTAAAAGTAATAAATATATAGTTCAGTCATGAAACTCTAGATGGCGCAGGCAACGGGTTGTTAAAGTAACCGATGATATTCAGAGAGTTAAACGACTTGGCACAAGCTGATTGGTTCATGCTGCATATGCAGCCAATGAGCTTACTGCCTTGCATTTATATGGCTGGCTAGCATTCACTTGAGATTCCTGCAGCACGCTTTCAGAGAACTCTGAAACCCTCCACCTTCCCCAGCTCCACCTGTAAAGATCTGCTACGGTGTGATTCATGTATGCTATATGGGGGTTATTTCATGTATGTTATATTTGCAGCAGCAATATTTCTTACATGCTCA